TGGGCTCCGAGAATTCCCCAACCATTTCTCTTCCTTTTGCCCAAGGGACCTCACGAGGTCCCTTGGGCAAAAGGAATCCGTGTTTCACGGAGAGGAGCGGGCACATGGGTAGAGAGACATTACAACCGAGAATTTGGATCGCAGCAGCACCCTATTGGCTGAAGGCCTAAAACACATTCGATTTTTTTTTTCTTTCTTTCTTATTTTTTGACATCGCTCGAAGGAAATGTCCTCGGGCGACGTCCCGGAGGACAGGTGGAACGAAGGGCCTAAATTTCCTTTTGAACCAAAAGGATTTTTCCCTTTTGCCCGAGGATTTCAATAGGAGTGTCTAACGAGCCCCTTAGTGTGTAATAGCAGGTTTGTGGCACCGGTTTTAGGGTGAAGAGATTCTTCCCCCTCTGTTTAATATCTTGCTCAGTTAATCCCCTTGATTCCAGGGTAATCAATGCTGGCAGGAATCCCCCACAATCCTTTTCCTGATAAGCTCTATATTCATTCTGTATAAGGGACATTGGACCCATTTTCCAGCAGGTGATGCTCCCCACCAATGTATGGACTCGGAGCCGCTCCCCAGGTATAAGTGGTGTCTGCTCTTATCAGCACCACTAACATTGGTGGGGGATTTGTCAACAAAAAAAAAAAGGAAGAAATTTTTCGCAAGGATTATGGGAAGGCATTTTGGCAGCATTGAAACAATCGGATGAGTCTGCAGAAAGACTGCTTACCCAGCCACTTTTTGACAACCCCTGCATATTGTCCTCGCAACGCACCCCAATTCCCTGTTTCGGGGTGGGGGCCTTGGGGGATGCCTGGTTGTCACGAGGAGTGGGCACCCTTCCGGACAGTGTGGTCATCTTGGACAGGGACCGCCCGGCCGTACGTCCGGACGACCGTACGTACGGGCCCCCAATGTCCGTACGGCCCGTACGTACGGACTTTGGGCCCTCCGTACGTGGTCTTCCAGGGGGTGTTTTTTTTTTTCTTTCCCGGGTGTAAAAAAAAAATGGATTGATTGATTGATTGATTGATTAATTGATTGATTGATTGATTGGTTGGTTGATTGGTTGATTGGTTGATTGACTGATTGATTGATTGATTTATTGGTTGATTGATTGATTGACTGATTGACTGAGAGAGAGAGAGAGAGAGAGAGAGAGAGAGAGAGAGAGAGAGAGAGAGAGAGAGAGAGAGAGANGAGAGAGAGAGAGAGAGAGAGAGAGAGAGAGAGAGAGAGAGAGAGAGAGTTCTTCAACTTCGACGTAAGTTTTAATAATCTTCTTCTTCTTCTTCCTCTTTGTTTTGTTGTTTATTTCCTCGTTTTTTTTTCTTTTTCTTTCATTCATCTTTATCTTCAATTTGTTCTTCTTCTTCAATTTGTTTCATCGTTTTTTTCCTCGTTTTTATTTTTTTTTCATTCATCTTCATCTTCAATTTGTTCTTCTTCGTCTTCTTCTTCTTCTTCTTCAAATATCTTCTTTTTTTTCTACTTCTTTTTACTTCATCTCTCATTCTTCTTCTTCTTTTTCTTTCTTCTTTGTCTCCGTCTTCTTCTTCCGTCTTCTTCTTATTTCTTCTTCTTCTTCAAGTTGTTTTTTTTGTCCTTTTTTTTTTTTTCATGCATCTACATCAGTCTTCTTCTTCTTCTTCTGAGAGAGAGAGAGAGAGGGCCGTCGGAGCGAGCCCGAGAGGCCCAGAGGGAGAGAGGGAGAGAGAGAGAGAGAGAGGGCGAGAGAGTATGTGAGAGAGAGAGAGAGTGTGTGTGTGTGAGAGAGAGAGAGAGTGTGTGTGTGTGTGTGTGTGTGTGAGAGAGAGAGAGAGAGAACAGGCCGCCGTAGACAACTAGGGAAAGACGATGACGACAACGACGACCGATGACGACAACCGGAGGAAGACGACAACGACAACAATGACGCCCGACGATGAGGTGGCTCGGCGACGGCTCCTCTTCTGTGCGCACAGAGGTGGCAGAACTTGAAAGCGCATTTAGTTTTTGAACACGCGCATTCAATTTTTGAACGTGCGTTTAATTCCGTTTGAACGCGCGTTCAATAACTGAACGTGGCGCTCCTTGGGCCGGTGGGGGGCTCGGTGTTGGAGGGCCAATTCCTCCGTGCGTTCGGCAGGGGGGTTGTGCCCCCTTGGCAGTGCAGGGTGGTTCTTCGAAGACACCGACTGGCCGTTGGAGTCTCCAGGGCAAGTATTGGTCAGGCAGCGGAGGACTACGACGCACGAGCGGCACGACAAAAATGCCGCAAGGGCAGGCGCGGGCATTCAAGGACGCCGAGTAAGACGAGAATCGCAAGGCACATAAGAAGTGGTGTGTGTACAAGTACATCCGCGTGGGTCAGAGTCCCGGTGAGAGGTTCCGTGGGAACCGCATATTGAAGTGTCTGTTTTGTGGCCATGACTCGGAGTTTCAGGGAAACCAGTATGTGGCGGCACCGCCGGCATGCCATTTCAGGCAGGGAAAACGGCGTCCATTGGAGACCGACAAGGCACTGGTGGACATATACTATAACTCGGACTACAGGTTGGAGGGCAAGATCCTTGACCGGATGCTTCGGTTCGACGAGCTTCTAGGTCCGGCACCTGCGATAGATCCGCGCCGGGACGAGGGAGGGGTGACGAGGAGGTGGTCGATGTTGACAACGTTGAGGACGAGAATGCACGAGCTGGGCCATCGACGAGGGACCAAGGGAAGGGCGTTGTTCACTAGCCGGGGGGCCAGCAAGGCCGTTGCTTTCAGGATTCTCACGTCTCGGCTCTCACTCAGGCGCATCAGGATGCGGAAGTCGTGGCGGCTGCTACGGGGAAGAGAAAGGAGAGAGAGGAGGGGGCGAGGCAGGGTGGGCAAAAGTGGCTGAGACAGAACACCATCACAGAGTCGTACTCTTCGCAATGGCAGTTGGAGTTCAAGAAGAAGTTCTTGAGGTTCTTTGAATCCTCCGCGGCCACGGTCGCCACGGGCACGACAGAGGCCCATGGTTGCGGTCATGGCCCCGGCGGCCGCAGTCTGCCGCGGCCCACAGCGGCCGAGGGGAGAGGGGGTAGGGGGTCAGGGTTGCGGATTGGGGTTCCGGGACCCTGACCCTACCCCCTTGGGAAAAAAAAGTGAAAAAAAATCATTTTCGGGGGGGGTCATTTTTAGTGTGTGGAAAAAAATAGAAAAAAATAGAAAAAAAATAAAAATTCATTGATTGATTGATTGATTGATTGATTGATTGATTGATTGATTGATTGGTTGGTTGATTGATTGCCAGTGATTGGTGGGGGAGGTCCTCCCAACCCTCCCCCCGGCACACACACACACACACACACACACACACACACACA